TGGTGGGATGGGGAAGGGAGGGGGACAGCATTGGAAAAAGAAATTGGGGGGAGAGCCGTCTGACTCCTCTCCCATCCTGATGCTGTATCCTGTGTGCCAACGTGCAGCCGTTTTCGCTGTACAAGCTCGGGCGTGTCAAAGTGGCTGGCGTTGCGCGGAAGTCAACCTCCCCTCCTCTCCACCACGCCTCAGCGTCTGCAGCTAAAACCGCTGTACGTACCCTACCGTCGGCCTCAATATTGCAGTTGCTGCCTGAGCACGAATCTGTGGGAAGCCCGAGCAAGTATGAGGAAGCTCACAAAGTGGGTGACTGAAAATGGTAGGGTGAGAGGTGACTAGGAATGGTGGCCCGGTTGCCACTTTTAGACGGCAGCTTGACCTCCATGATTCAGTCGCCCACAGCACCTCGTTCCGTCTCCTTCATATGAACACTCTATTGATTGCTTCAGCTTTACCAATTATCAATCAATCAGTGACAGCAAAAAAGACTGACTGGTGGATTTTTAACCGGGTCTGATCGCAGTATCAGGCGACTACACATCGCTACACTGTGATGAGGTCCCTGAGCATCCAATGCATATTTCAATTACCAATGAACCATTGTGAGTGGCTTTGCTTCCTGATGATGCCCATTCTCTTACAGACTTTCGATATGATAGTAAATGTCGAACGGCAATTGAAAGACCGGAGCCTTCCAGCAAATCTTCGCAACTATGGACTTGGGCAAACTTTCAGTGATATAAAGTTTGATGCCGTCGAAAGTCAGCTTATAGGAGATGTCGAGTACACTTTCAAGGGCTCTAATGTGAGTGGAGTGAGAACAAGGTGAGCTAATGCTGCTTGAACTGACTCGTAAAACGCTTGGAACATTAACATTGAAAGCTCTTCTCACGCTTGCTTTGAAGGCAGTTGGACGATAACTTTCGTACTCGGCCTAAAATGCTAGGCCAGGGGGCGCTATAATAAGTGGGAAGAACGGAGTGTAAGCGGTAAATCCTGTGGAAAAAAGCCTATACTTTCTTAAGTAGACATTAAATATTCAATTCTGGACAAGTTCCCCGTAGGCACTCGTTGCAATAACGTCGCCGAAGCGAACTGAACTCCATTGTACTTATGATTGATAATTTTGCCTTATGCAGTGAATTCGAGCGTCAGGAACGGTCGTCCATTAGGTCCGGTAAGTTGAGCTTGATAGGCCGCTAGCCAAGGGGTAACTCTCCCTGAAGGGGTTGCGCGGCAGCGCTTTCCAAGGGGCGGAATCGCCGTCCTACAGGCGTATACTTTAGGGATCTATCAAGCCAACTGCTTTTGAGCCTTATTTGTTGAAAAATAACAACAAATGTTTGTGTCAGCCTCGAACTCAAAATGTCTCAGTGCTTTTAGGGAGAGGCTCACAGTTCCATGCCATTTCTCGCACTACGTCCCGTTTGACAGACATGCTTTGTATAGTGAAACTTATTTCAAGTAAGTTCCTCCATCCTATTATTTATTGGTCTTTTTGATTTTTTTCCTTGTCAATTTAGGAAAACTCCCGTCTGACCAATTAATTTTGACATGGCGATCATCTCCACACATGTCCACAACGTCGATGAACACGCCGTACTTTCTTATCGAAGAGGTAACCTCCAAGGTGTTCCGTGGTTTGGCGTCTTACTGAAATGGCTTACTTCCAGATAAAACCCAATACATGCGATCATAAGTCTAGCCAACCTGCAGCATTATCATCAAGCTCGACATTTGGTAATATAATTCTTCTTTTTCTGTAATCGTCTATCTATATGAAACCGAATGTTCAGCGGCCTTCGGATTAAAGGCTCACTCCAATCAGATCCCAAGTTACTCCTCCTTCGCGGGGAATTAGTTTGATCCACAGAAGAAGCGGCTGCATCATTTTTTTGGCGCGGAACCCAGTGACCAATGTGCTCGTGCCACCGTTACTCCTTGTGGCCCGGCCCACCTTGATCGGCCACGCCCACCGCTCTACTAATATTGGGTTGGCACATAAGTAATGGCGTTTTTTTCAATTGAAAATTTTGTTCCAAAAGTGAAATGTTTTGCAAGCAAGCTTGATATCATCTGATAGGAAACTTCTCGTAGTATAAGAATATCAAAACAGCTTCGGTTGAGGGAATAATTTTTGTGAATTTTTAGTCGTTGAAGTTGAAAGTGAAGAAAATTAGCACCTTCGACAACTGCCTCTATTTACGTCTACTCGAAGTGCTAAAATCGCTTAAGCTGCTCCATACATTTGGAAAAGGTTGAGCTAGAAGTCTCAGCAAGGGAATCTCAATAGGACGCTTTGGAACGAATTTCAAGAATTTCAAAGTTGCCAACCTTCACCTCGCCGATATTGGGCAGGCTCACGTCTGTTCCACCTGAAATTTTATGCTAATAGTTGAATGTTTCGCTGATATGTTTTGCATGTTCTGATAGCAAATTTCGTGCTCTATAACATGCAATGGGAATCTGTTCTCCAGAGCTGTTTACTTTCTGTTAATTTCAGGTTATCATTACGGAACGTGAGGTCGATGAGAATTAGCGTTCCCGACTTCCTCTCCCTACCGCTGTCCACGGAAGCTTCAAAGCTCCTAGAGCAGCTCAATAGAATCGCCATGGTTTGAGTAAGGCATAGAGTAACAGATTAGTATTAGGACGGCTCACAATTGATTCTGGAAAAAAAGCACAACCGACAACGTTGACCTTGCAGACATCCGGTCGACCCATACCTCACGATTTTTTTGTTTTCCTTAGTAAATTTCAAACACAGTATTTACAACACTATAAAAATATAGATATTTACAATAACTAGTCAATGATATATTCCCCATTGTTTCTTACAACCTCTTCTCCACCTATCAGCCAGCTGTTCAATGCCTTCTCGGCAAAAATCCATATATTCCATATTACCAACCTGAAAAACATGGAATATCAAGGATATTTCAAATAAACTGCCCTTATCAGAGCACGAAATTTGTTTCAGAGGATACAAAAACACATAGCCAAAACACTCAACTATTACCATGAAAAATTCGTCGCGAAATCGGGGAGAGCTAACTGCATCGACTTCACGTTCCGTAATGATTGACTCTGGAATTAGACAAAAAAAACATTCTGGAGAACAGATCGCAGTGTATAGAGCACGAGATTTGCTATCAGAATTTGCAAAACATATCAGCGAAATATTCGACTATTAGCATAAAATATCAGGTGGAACAGACGTGAGGAGGGGCGGCCAAATCAGCAGCTGAAAAGTTTATACTTCAAATCTCTTGAAATTCATTCCAAGCTCGCGAGTTGGATCTTCTTGCTGGAACTTCTAGACCTGACCTTTCCAAATGTATTCGAGTAGACGTAAATAGAGGCAGTTGTCGAAGGTGCTAATTTTCGCCGACTTCACTTTCAACTTCAACGACTAAAAAATTCACAAAAATTATTCCCTCAACCGAAGCTGTTTCGATATTCTTATACTACGAGAAGTTTCCTATCAGATGATATTCAAGCTTGCCTTGCGAACATTCACGTGAGAAACAAAGTTGGCAAGAGAAAAACGCCATTAGATTATGATGGCCAACGCCAATAGCCCGGAGAAAGCTGGCTGGACATCTTCTCAATAAAAAAAAATGGGATCAACTGCGCGAAATATACACGACAAGCGACTGCCGCTGATCTCGTCCATTAACACATTTTGCTCGCCCTCTACTCTTACATTGGATGAGGTCGTAAGGCGTGCAATAAAAAGGCCAAAATAACTATACTCGCAAAATTCTTTTGCGAACCAGGAGCTTCTTGTATTCGAGGGTTCCCAAAGCTTCCATCAGGAACAAATACTTCGAACTTCCCACCCTTGAAACACGTCGGATGGTAGCGGATGTGTGCATGGTTTATAAGCTTATGTACGGGTCTGTAGGGTCAATTCCTCTCAATTTGTTCGAAATCCAGCAATCACGGACCAGAGGTGGGCAAGCTAAAATTCTCTTAGCTTGTCCAAGGACCAGGGTGAGAGCCGCTAGCTTCTCATTCAGAGCCGCGAGCACATATAAGAGGGTCACAAGAGATTTATCCATTCCCAGTACTGTGCGACAGGCTAAGCCCGGCAGTGGCCTCGCGACCGCAAATTGCGGGAAACGGAACTCAAATAGGCACAAAAAAGTGCTAAGTATCTGATTAGCGGAGAAAAGCAGCAGAAAAAGCAGTCCGAAATGTTATAGAGAAAGATAACATAGTGGCTACTAGCTAGTAGCTAGCAGCCGGTGAGGGTCGGCATGGGCCTAAGGGGTGTCCATGGGCCTAATTAGTCAGCTTCTAGCGGAGTTCTTGCCGTTTTTCACATTTTGAAAGTAGCGCAGCCTCAAAATCGCCTTCCGGATCGTCCGACACATTTGAGAGGTCATAGCCTTATTTTTTCGCGGAATGTGCCTTTAAGAGGAATTGCTAGCTTCACGGCTTCTTAGTTACGTAACATCCTAGTTGCTTGAGATTGACTTCAGAATTTCCTAACTTCATCAATAGTGGAATAGTCTCGGATCGTTGCCAGCTCGAGTCGCTTCATTTCATTTCACTTTGATTAGTTTGATATCTTGATAGACTGAGTGAGCGTTTTCCTAGTTTTTGAAAAGTTATATCGTTGTCGTTTGTTCCCAGAAAGTTTTTTTTTTCGTGATGTTCTTTGTTTCTTGTTCTCTCACGTTTGCCTTATGCAGCGTAATAAACATAACATAACATAACATAACATATCACCACACAAGAGAACACTAGGCCCGCTGGATCTCGATCCATTACACACTTGCTCGCCCTCTACTCTTACATATTGACGCTCCGTTAGACGATCTTATTCGAGTGCAGATGATAGCGAGATCGTCAGTCGTAAGGCCGCCTCTAAAGGGGACGGCCGTGACTTGACATCGGATTCACTGCCTCTCTCTTCGTTCTCTCATCGGCGCCGCATTTCCCTGGGAGAGGGGCATTTCTCTTTGTTCCGAACGCGTTTAGTTGCAAGGCGAACTTCCGAAAAAAGACTCTGAAGTGGAAACTCATCTAACATTGTGCGAAACCATCCTGTGAATATCCGCAGACTCTTGTGAAGCTAATACAGTCCTACGTAATGGCAGAGGTGTATGTGCTGGTTGGCTTGCCTGTAAAGCAAAAATGAAAGGAAACCGTCAACTCGCCCCAAGTAAGGCCCTATTCGTGGTAAGCGAGAGAAAGAATTGGCGAGGATATCGGTCGATAGGCCAGGGCAAAGCAGCGAGAGGGTATGCAAACGAGCAAGACGGCACATAAGACATCTATCCCTGTGGGCGGGATCACTTGATTGTGGACTCTACCTTTGAGATGAGGAAACTAAAAAGCTTTATAGTGAATAGCAAAGTAGTACGTCGCTTCGGGCGAAGAATGCCTCTTCATCATCTGGCCCTCTTTTTAAGACTTCAGCGCTTCTTCACTATGAATACTCCTCAAAATTAACTTCGAAAATGACAGCTTCCCTGATCAAGGAAATCTCAGACGTTTTTTTCTCTTTTTTTCGTTGGTTGGCAATTTACCACCTGAAGTTTCGTATTTGGACTTCGATACCTATAAGCTACTTTTGACAATTCCAGCTAACTGTAAATTATTACAGTAACCCATGCGTGTTTGGCGATACGTATTACATTCATCCGTTCTCTGTGCCTCGTATTTTATCGGTTCTATATGCCGTCTTCTGTTGCGCTATTCCTAGCATGGGTGTCATTCTACGTCAGTAGAACAGATCTCATCAGTCGAGTACTGCTCATCTCATTCTCTATATCACTGCAAACATTTATAGTAAGTTCACCGTTCTTATTCTGTCATTATATTCGCCTCAGTTCGGCTTGGTGGGGGCACTTAGGCTGGCACTCTTGTAATGCTGAGCTGTTGAGCGATTAAGATGACTTTTGTCTGCGCTTAACGAGGGTTTACAGCGTCTAAGTAAGGTAACATATGTAAATTAACAGAAATTAGTAAAACAAACTAGCAGATTAGGGAAATGCGATCACCCCCCCCTTTCACCCTTAGCGCAACAAAGAGTTCGCAGTCCGAGGAATTCTACCGTATTCCACACGCTCCGTTTAGTTTACCCAGCGTGGCGTCCGCGCGCGGGTCGCGCGCTCATCAAGTCCAAGTAGCAAAGGAGCGGGTATGTGGCGATTCTATCGTGGGTTGTCGCCTTGATGGACATGGCCCGCGTCGCCGCAGCCCGGGCTGCGTTGTCTCACGGCTCATTCAAAATATCGGAGGGATCTGTCACCAAGAGCAATCCTCTTGACTCTTAGCTCACCCAGAACGCCGTGCTCCGAAGGATTTTCAGTGTGCCTTGTACCTGCATTCCGTAGCAATTCCCGTGGCTGTCGCGACACCGGCAGATGTCTGGTGTGCACTTCTTGTCATTCAATCTATTATAGTCGTCGGTTTTGTAAGTTTCGCGCTCTTCATCGGCACCGTTTGCCTTGAAGGGGCATTTTGCTTTCTTCCGAAATTTATCTCACAGTAAAAAGGTGCTTTCTTCAGATATTCACTTCGATAGTAATGGAGTCACAGGTGCGAAAGTACCGTGACCTAATCACCGACTCAAAAACGATTCGAGAAGACAGCCGATCACGGCATGAACGGCGTGCTATGCGAACGGCAATGTACAGAAAGGAGAACAACCATACGGTTAGTGGCCCCATGGTTTCTGCGACAAGACTGTAAGCTTGGGAGAACAGTCGGTATACAGTACCCCAAAAATTGCGCGTGAAATTGAACTTGTCGGCCCCGTGAACGCACACAATTGGGGCATACTGTGAAGCAATCCAGATAACCAAACTCCCGGATGAGGCCAGGAAGCAAGCGCGACGCTAATTCTGTTCTCCACCTGTAGCCTGGCGCTGCCTCGTTGAAAACTGGGTGGTGTTGTGTGCACTCGGCGGTCCTGGACTCAGTTACGCACAGTTAAGGATACTGTATCCTGCCTGTTCTTGTGGACTTATGATTTGAGGGTTTCTGCTCCGTTGCGTTCAATTTTCAATGCATGATGTTCAGGAAAAATCCGCTTGCAGCTATGCAACCGTAGTTGAAGCGACGTTTCGTCGTAAAGGCGATCAAATCTCACTATGTGCAGTACGACTAGATCTTGTTCGCAAGGCTTGCCTGTCCTGTTTTGTACATTATTTTGACTAGTATTTATTTTCTTATGTATTTATTGACTCCACGCGACTAGCAATCACTTTGTAAATAAGTTACAAACCCTTTAATTT